TATACCCCGTACAATTTTTTGTATAAGCCCCGTTTTATGGGTTCTATTACGCGTAAAGAACGTATTCGATTGTTTTTGTTTCTGGTAAGGTTGTTTTACTTTATGAACGCTATCTAAATAGGCCTTATATACCTATAATCAAATTTGCGTAACCGGGGCTGTTGTACATATAATCCCTTCGAGTGTACACGCATTTTTCTGATAATTATTTTATGAGTTAAGTACATCAGTGATAAGAGTTTACCTGTTGTGTCATATGGTTGTCTTTTTTAATTCTACCGATAGTCACGAAATATTTTAATTATATATGTCATCGATATTTATCTTTAGTTCAACTTTTCCATACTAATAATTTGTGGATAATTCGTATATAAGAAGTATAAATTATTACTTAGTATAACTTATTTTTATTTTGTTTATTCTTAAACCAATTTACTTGGAGATTTAATCTATAATTTTAATTTTAATCAAAACATGTAAGAACAATAACCTCAGTATTTTATTTTTATTTATTTGAAATTCGAAGTATATTTTTTAATTTAAATATTTTACTCTAGTCGTCAGAAATGCCAATGAACCTCTTAAAATCATAAGAACAAGCTGAATTTTGAGGAGAATATTAATTTTGGTACCCCTAAACAGATGCAAAAAAGTTTACTACTTTTTTTCTTCCTAAAACCTCCCTCGTTGGAGGGGAAAACGCAAAAATATCGTTTTACCAAGAATCTGTAGGCCGTAGAATTGTTTTTAATCAAAAATGTAGCTGAGATAATTTTAAACAAAAAAATTTATTAGTACTTTTTGTGTAAAATGAACTGTTCTCTCACAAACAACGCTTGAAGCGACCGTCGATTTTGAATGTCAGTTACGTGCGCGAAATCAATTAAATTTGTATCAGCACGATGGTAAAAATTCGAAATCGTTCTGAAATCGTTCTCAAAATACAAACATTAGTAAATTAAACAAATTTTGTTAAAATTGTTTTATCTATTATTTTATAATTTAATTTTATCTGACTCATTTATGTTGACAATTAAGACATACATTATACATTTTAAAGTAGGCGACTTTAAAATTATCTTGCCAATATTCTTGAGCTGCGTTCCTTGGACCACTTTACTTGTTAGATAATTCATTCAATTATATGAACTCAACTTTAACTTGAGAATATCCGTCAGAAAAAATCATAACATATAATTCGTCTTTAAAAGTCAAACACATGCCATGATGACATTAAAATTCTCCTGTTAGTGATTCCATAGTAAATTATTAGGAAAAAACTAGGGAAAAACCTCATAATACTATCCCGACATGGTAAGTATTTGGTCGAGCGTTTAGTTTACTTTTAATAAACACCAAATTCTAATTTTATATGTTTGTTATTTAACAATCATAAATGATATATTCTCTATATGTTACTGACTTACTAATACTGGTATTTTCCTTTTGAATAACTTTTTTTTTAAATATGGGTAACTTGATCCTACTATATTCTACCGTGGAATTTGCGATACAGTTGGTCTCATTTAGCATAATCAGAGCCGATTCTTTTATTTTTCTCTTTTTACCATCAGTTTCTTTCAGGACTATGTCTGAATCATTCCATTGAACCCTATGTTCATTATCCAATGCATGTTTACATTTTTGAGATCTATCTTCTTCTTCTTTCAGTGCCTATTCGTTCCGAATATTGGCAATCATTCTGGCTATAATTATTTTATTGACTGATGCTTTAAATAGATTCGTTGTTGTTGTGGAGAACCATTTCCTCAGGTTCTTCAACCATGATATTCTCCTTCTCCCAATTCCTCGCTTTCCGAATACTTTACCCTGTAGGATTACCTTCAGTAATCTGTATTTAGTGCTGTTTCTCATTATATGTCCGAGATATTCCAACTTTCTCCTTTTAATGGTATACATCACCTCTCTTTCTTTTCCCACTTTTCGTAATACGGTCTCGTTGGTTATCTTGTCTGTCCATGATATCCTTAGAATTCGCCTGTATAGCCACATCTCGAAGGCTTCAAGTTTTTTCTCCATTGCTTCAGTTAGTGTCCAGGATTCAACTCCGTAATACAATATTGAGAAGATATAACATCGTATGAGCCTTACTTTTATCCCCAGATTAAGATTGTGGCTTTTAAAGAGTTTGGCCATGTTATGGAATGCACTCTCTAGCCTTCTCTATTCTACATTTTATTTCCTGTGAGTGATCCCATTGTTCATTTACTGTTGTTCCAAGATAGTTATACTGTTTTACTCGGTCCACTGGTGTATTATTGATAAGTAGTTGAGCGTCTCTAACTTTATTTTTGCTGATGATCATAAATTTAGTTTTTGTTATATTTACTTGAAGTCCAAATTTTTCACTTACTTCATTTACTTTGTTTATTAGTTGCTGTAAACTGTTCAAACTGTCTGCAAAAATAACGGTGTCGTCTGCATAACGGATGTTGTTTAGGCGTTCTCCATTTAGAAGTATTCCATGTTCGCATTTTTCCAAGGCTTCACTAAATATTTCCTCTGAATATAGATAAAATAATATAGGTGAAAGTATACAACCTTGTCTAACGCCTCGTAGAATCTGGATCATTTCCGTTGGTTCACCTCCAAAATTCGTTCTTATTGTGGCTGATTGGTTCCAGTATAAATTTTGTATTATACGCCGATCTTTATCATACATTTGGGCTTTTGTTAGAATATCCATCATTTTTTGGTGTTGAACTGAATCAAATGCTTTTTGGTAGTCCACAAAGCAGGTGTAAATATCGCAAGTCATATCTCTGCATCTTTGAAATAATACTTGTAGACTAAACAGTGCATCTCTTGTACCTACGCCTTTCATGAATCCAAACTGTGTGTCTTGTATTCTCTCTTCGCATAGCTTGTATATTCTACGATGTATAATTTTAAGAAAAAGTTTTAATGTATGGCTCATTAGACTTATTAGCCTATATTCTCCGCACTTTTTTGCTCCCTGTTTCTTTGGTAAGGTAATAAATTCTGAAAGTAGCCAATCTTTTGGGATATTGCCTGTGTCATAGATATTATTGAAGATTTTACATAGTACTCTTAAAGATTCATCATCAAGAAGTTTAAGAAATTCAGATTGTACTCCGTCTGGTCCTGGAGCTCTACCTTCTTTTAGTGATATTATGGCTGCTCTTATTTCTGTCACTAGTATAGGTAGTCCTGTTTCCGTAGGTATTGGGGGCTGGTTCTCTCTCTCATCAAAAAATAAATTTCTTATGTAATTTTTCCAGGTATCATTGATACTCTCTTTGTCCACGATTATCTCTCCATTGTCATTAACAAGTTTACTTATTCTTCTGTTTTTACATTTACCTGTAATTTCTCTTACCTTCTTATGCACGTTGAAGTCGTCATATTTACTTTGGAGAATTTCGATTTCTTGGCATTTTTTCTCCAGTTCTTTCTGTTTGGCTTCTCTGATCTTTCTCTGTATCTCTCGCTGTAATGTTTTATACATGGAGTTATCGTTCTTGTTTTTCCTTTTTTCTTCCATTAGTTGCAGAATCTCTGTCGTCATCCATGTCTTATTCTTACCTTCTTCGTTCTTCATAAAAGAGATCTATCAAACTCTCTATTTTTAATATAAGATTGATGTTCACTTATTCTAACATTTAACGACCCTGATGTTTCACCTAAACAAAACTGTTCGTATTCACAAGATATTTTATAAATACAATTCTTTATCCTTTCTTGTTCATTGTTAGGTTTGGTTTTAGAGAAAATAGATCTCAATGTGATTGTTGTTTTGAATCTTGTTGAAATGTTGAATTTATTTCCTATCCTTTTAAGTTTTTCTGATAATCCTTTTATATATGGTATTGTTATTTTTATCGTATTATTCCTTGTGTATGCTGTAGGATCTCGTTCTTGTTGTTTTGTTCTATTCGGTCGACTGTTGAAAATTCTTTATTTGTAAACGATAAAGGATAATCATTTTTTAATAAAACAGATGTTACCAAATGGTTTCCTCCAAGAACGAATTTTCGTTAGAACAAGTAATTTTGGCTCTATTGTATGAGGATTTAATAATTCCCTTTTTAATATTAGTATTGTGGTTTGATTTGATATTTAAATATCTGTTTGTGTGTGTTGGTTTTCTATACACCTGAGTCCAATATCCAGTATCGTTCTTAAAGATTCAAACATCCAGGAAAGGTAGTGTGTTATTATATTCCTTTTCCATGGTAAATGTTATTGTCTCTTCTTTATCGTTTATATCATTTAGGAATGTGTCCAACTCTGATCCATGAGGCCATATTGAGAATACATCATCTACATATCTCCACCATACTTTGGGTTGTAAATTTTGTTTAGAAATAATATTTGTTTCAAAATCTTCCATAAATATATCGGCTAATAATGGAGATAAACTTGAGATAAATGAAGTCTAAATTTGACAGATCTGTCAGAAGTAAACAACGTAGGCTTTGTTAATACCTTACCAGGTAGGGTTAGCAGAAAAAATTTAATAATTTATTGAAATATTTTAACACATATAATATAATTTGTTTAAAATATAAATAATAAATAATAACTAAATTACTTTATTATATATTTAAAAATAATATTTAAATTATAAAAACACAAAAACCTGGTATGAAGCTTTGCGCTAGTACTGCCCCACTGAACCATATTTTTTATGTATAATAAATTGGTTTCTGTTTTATTGAGATTTATTTTCCATTTTCATTATTAAATATAGACAATCAAACTACTTTCCAGTTTACGTTTTGTGCCACCATTACTAACTTCTACTATTTAGAAGTATCTGTAAAATTTTATCTATTTTAGATATTTGTGTAATGTTTTGAAAAAACAAAGAAATGTTGAAGCTACACATGAATAATTATTGTGTATAAATAAGTTAAAAAAATTACGCAAAACATTATTTTATTCTAAAACCAATATTAAGCAAAGTATTAAGCAAAGTATTAAGCATTTTAATTAATACTTTATTATTTTTTCAGTTTTGATGTTGAAAATGGCGCCAGTCCAGGTAGAAGTCCGTTGGATGGAGCAGCTTCTCCATCCGCTGGATTGGTTCTCCAGAATCTTCCTCAAAGGAGGGAGAGTTTTTTATATAGATCTGATAGCGACTTTGAAATGTCGCCAAAATCCATGTCTAGGAATTCTTCAATTGCCAGTGAAAGGTAAGATTTGTATAAGTTTTGTAAATTAATTATCAATATTATTAAATTGTTTTAGTTCCTTTTTCGTTATAGCTTTTATTTACAATATTACCGATATTAACGTATTATGCATTATTAAAGGTATTAATGGTATAAGTAAATATGTGATAAAGATTAAATCACATAAACTGCTTGATGAAATATATGTATTCTTTTTAATCGTTTTCTTTATTTCACTTTAATGGATCGTTATATTATTATTTTATCTTAGCCTTTAGACTACTGCTAACTGTTTAGCACGTCTATTTATCATATAATTTCTCTGTTCTGGAATATATCATTTTTTATCTATCGAATCTCTTTGATAATAATGTTAGTTAGACGATATTTGAATGCAAATATCGTCACTTACAGAACGCAGATGGATATCAATTTTTCATGGTATCATGATCATTATATCAGAAAATATTGGAAACCAATGTTAATTTCCCGTTTATTAATAAATTCTCAGACAGATAGATAGATAAATTCATTGAGGTGGCTTTTGGCCTGTTCCACTGCAACCTTTGCAGATCTATCATTCAGATCTTTTATTTATCCGGATTACTTTCTAACTTAACCCTTTTAAAAGGTCTAATAGCTTGAAAAGCTTTGTGTTCTTTGCGGCTTTTCTGTGTCCAATAAGAAGAACCGCAAATTTTCCAGGCTGTCGCACACAAAATGTGCTCTGCTGTTTTTTCTCTAGGCGACAAAATCTCCGTAGATCATCATCTGCCAATTCCATCAGCTTCAACTATCTATTCAAATTACATTGCCCTGTTAACAGACTGGCTGTGATTGTTTTTCTACCTTTGCTTATTAGGTCTGCTGTACATTTTTGGCTATGTAATGAACTGTGTTACCCGAATTTGCCCCATGAATTCTCCACCATTCAGAGATTTGTGTGCTAGTCATTTTCTTGTAGTCATTCTTGTTACTACCTTTGCAACGTCGCAGGGTTTCGGTTCAATGAGTGGCATTCATAAGCCTTGTTTGGCCATTTTATCTGCTTTTTCATTGCCTTTATGATCCTCGTATGCTAGTATCCAGGCTAATTTAACTTTACTGCGGTCTCATATTTCATTTAGAACATCCATATAATCTCATATTATATTTGAATTGACCTCTAGAGAATTGTGTGCCTTCAGCGCTACCGGGCTAACTCTGAAGATGACAATTGAACGGTGCGTTCTTTTTTGAATTTCTATTTCTTCCCCGCAGTAATGGATTGCCGTTATTTTTGCCTGGAAACTTGTGACATCCGTAGATAGACTTACCGGGATATGTATTCCTTGTTTTGTCCCTACTATACTGGCGCCTGCGCCCTACAATGTTTTTAAGTCATCAGTGGACCACATAGCTTACGCTTGTATGAAATACACCTTCCTTCCAGTCATCCCTGCCGAGTATATTAATGGTGACTTGTCAAAGCTATATCTCACATTGTCAGCACTATGCGCCAGGCTTATGTGTTGCTGACTTTGTATTAATTTATGCATCACAGATCTTACTTCGCCGTGTATAAAGATACGTGGTTATGGATTCAGCAGGACTTATAGCAGGAGTTATTTTTATGGACCCTGTAATACACAGGCATGCAAGCCTTTTTATACAAGATCGTTAGATCATTAGCAAAAGCCATGCACTGGTGTTCATTTTTCATGATTGTTTCTTTCACTTTTATGCTGTATTTTCTGATTACAGTCAAGTTGAATATTGTAGTGAATAAAGGATATTTTCTGTCTTAAGCCTTTTGCAAGCTTAAATTGATAGCAATTTTACAGATAAAGTAATTTAGTGCCATTTTTACTAGTCAGATCAATTTTTTTGGTACATCCAAGTGTTCGACTCTATGATATGTTTGTCTAAAATTTACAAACAAAACATGCAATGAACTTTCTTGTAACAAGTTGTCTATCTCATTTAAAAGAAGAAAAGATTTGGTCTATAGTAGATTTGTCCTTTCTAATGCCGGAGTGGTACTTTTGTAGGATCCTTTCCATATAGCAGTTCAGTCTATTCCTCAATATTCTTGCCAATATTTGATATATAGTATTTAGTAAGGTTATATCTCTATAATTGTCACACTTCCTCATGCCAATCAGATCGCATTATTTCATTTTCAATAAAATTTATTACTAGCCCATCTAACGCTGATTTGTTGTGTGATAGCTGTGGCTATTTTCAATCTATAGAACTTGGTCTAGTCGGCCTTTGGTCTACTATGCTTGTTCATCTATCTGCATTATTTAGAATTATTGAGGGAAAGTGCGTGTTTATGAGTTCTCTAAAACTTTTCTCTTTAGTCTCCGTAAATTTGCCATTAGCTTTCTTTAGGAAACCTGAACCTTTAGAACTTTAATTATTAAGAGCACACCAATTTTCTCAGCTACTCTTTACTTTATTCCCCTTATAATTCCCTTTGCTATCAAAGGTTAAATATCATTATATGTTTTCTTATCCTATCGGCAGCCACTTTTAAAAGGTCTACTTGTCTACAAATATACCACTCCCGAAGGTTTGTCAGCCACGAAATCCTTCTTCTGCCTATGCTTCGTTTACTCTTGATTTTTCCTTGTATGATAGGTGATAATAATAACGGAGAAGCCTAAAAGAAGATATCAAAGGGGATGTTGAAATAATGTCGGATAATCGATGCGGTTCAATCCGGAAGACTGTTGAGTCTAAGCTTTAAGTTTAATTGTAATAATGCGAAAATCTTTCGAATATATATATATATATATATATATATATATATATATATATATATATATATATATATATATTCTTCAGCCTTCATTTATCCATTGTTGGACATAGGCCTCCTCCAATCGCTTCCCTATCTTTTGCAATTCTCATCCACTGATTTCCAGCTACAGCTGTTATATCGTCTATCCATCTCTTTTTGGGTCTTCCTACGTTTCTTTTTGTTTCTCGAGGTCTCCAGAATGTCAGTTTATGAGACCATATGTTGGTGTCTTGTCTTGCTACATGTGCTACACATTGCCATCTCAAAGTCGCTATTTTTCCCATGATGTCGGTTAGTTTAGTTCTTCGACATATTTCCGTGTTAGGAATTTTGTGTCTGAGGCTTATATTTAACATGGCCCGTTGACGTACTCTTAATTGTTCTGTCATTTTTCTTGTTATTGCCATAGTTTCCAATCCATAAGTTGCTAGTGGTAGTGATACAAGTGTCATATGTTTTTCGTTTTAAGTGAATTGGGATTTGTCTGTCTTTTAAGACAAAAAAAAAACAGAAACATATATATATATATTATATATATATATTATATATATATACTATATATATAATAATGTTTATCTACATAATTAATATATGTTTTCTCGAAATATCGATCAGTAAAACATATATTTATTGCACGCATAAAACATTTATCCTCACGGGACCAACTTGGTCGCATATCATATCAAACACTTTTTGCTATTTGTCATCAGGGACATATTATAATTATCTGATGATATGTCGGATTTATAGAGCGCAACATAAAAGCTTATCGCTTCCGTTGAAATATCGCATACATATATTCGACATTTAAAAATACTCTAATATTTATGACAGAAATAAAAATTTTCATTTATAGTAATACCAGAATTGGGGAAATTAAAAAAATTAATTAATCATCACTAAAACATGCATGTGTAAATTTACACCTGCCGAAACTCAATGAACAGAACATTGCCTTCTTCGTCTTCTTCAAATAACTTATACTTCAAGAACATTGGCCTTGAGACTTTACTATCAATTTTACATCAGGTAGTAGTTCATATTTCTAATTTCTTATTACGTGCGAAAAGTACTTAAATCTATTCTTTTTATGGCATTCAGAAACTCTTTCTTTGTTTAGTCATTGTAAAACTGCTTGATTCGTCACTCTGTTCGTCGATGATAGTCTTAACATTATGCGATAAACCCATATCTCACATGCAACAACTCTGTTATAGATAGTTTTAGTGAGAGTCCATGCTTTCATGCTATAAAATAGAATGTTAAAGACATAACAGCATAATAAATGTATTCTCAAATTACTTCTTAAGGCACTATTGGTTAATAGATTTTGCATCTTCCTAAATGATAATCTGGCTTGCTTTAGTCTCCCTTTGATTTCCTGAGATTTTCCGTACATAATCTTAATATAAAATTTGAAACTAAAATCTAAAATTAAAAAAAAATAATCTAATAAAGGACAGTGATGGAGCATATAAAAAAAAAAATTACTTGGATTATATAGCAGTCGGAAGAAGCTTCTAAAAAAAATAGAGTAGAAGATAAAAATCGTCTGGTAGAAGGAAGATATCAAGAAAATCGGGAAGATCAAGAAACTAAAACGTAGATATAATTCGAATGATGCGGGAAATCATGATTAATAATGATGCCATGATGGAGCAAATGAAAAAGGACAAAATTGAAATTAAAGAAATGTACTAAAGAAAGCAAATACAAAAATAGAACAATTAGAAAGTAATGCAAATATCGCAATCAAAGGTCTAACCATCAAAACCAGAGGCACTAAGGGCATCAGGGAAAGTCTGGAGCAAACTAGAACTACGAATTACACTTAGGAGAAGCTGAAAACTAGGAGATAAGACACGTTTAGCAGAAATTAATAATATGTCTGACAATATACAAGTGTTTAAAATAAAAATAAACTTAAAGTATCATTTAAAATTTCTTAATAAAAGGTATATAATTTAAAAAAAAAACCTTTTAGGCTACATCACAGAACGTTTTGGACTAAAAAGTCGATCATCAGTGTATTATTACCAGGTGTACATTAGCCAAGGCACTAAATAGCTCGGTAAAAACCTTAAAAATTACAAAATTTGTTATGTGTTATATTTTTGTTGAAAAGATGGTGTGATGCTAAAGTATTTAACAGATACCCTACATGGCAACGTAAGTGCATTTAGACGGGCTAGTTTTTAAAGAATATGATGCCGACAATATATTCCGTATGTTG